GGGCATGATTGAATAGTGACCCCACTGTCGGGATAGGTACCAAAATGCCTATAGACTACTCACGGAGGTCTGGGCCCCAACAACCAGGGTTCCAACACAATGCCCGTGGTCTTTAACTTAAGGAATCTAACTCTCTRACCCCAGCTGCRAAAGAAGCGGTCCCTGGCTGCTTTCCGGCCACAAGCTCTTCCAGTGTGTCTCCAATCTGCCCATACCAGGGACCGTACCCCCTCCAGGATCATATTCTTGATGTCCCTGTCCGAGTAGAATTTGGACTTGAACACTCTATCATTTCTCAGTTTCCATATAACCTGCATGATGGCCGCCCTGCAGGCTATGGCCACATACTCCCACCCCCGGCCTATTGCTTCAGCATTATGCAGAATGCCTTCGATCACAAAGCATTCATCCCATTGGACCAGGTCCTCGACCTGAGCAAGCCAAAGACCGGCCCACCATACCCATATCCTTTTGGACTCAATGCAATGCCACCACAAGTGCGTGGCTGTTTCTTCTGCTCGTCTGCATCTATGGCACTTAGTGTCCAATGGTACCCTATTTGCCCTGAGCCAGGTTGCTGTAGGCACAATCCTGTGGGACTGCAACCACATCAAACTACCCATTTTGGCGGAAGAAACCCGTCTGAGGTTTTTCCATAGCCTCCTTAGGGATGTTGATGAAATAGGACCCTTCTGCTGTACTCTGTCCTTAGCTTCCATTAGCTACTGATTCCTCACTCCGAACGGTAGGGACCAAGACTTGCTTTGAGTTTGATACCCAACTGTAGGAGAGTATTCCAACAAGTTCCTAACCCTGGGAGGTTCAAGTAGTTGTCAACCCCAGTGTGAGGGATTCGTCGTCAACTTATTAACCGGTATTACTCCCATGGGGCAGTAATGTACCATTTCATTGTTGGGCTTTTTCTTGGAGCTGGCCAAGATAGAGGCAACCTGCTGCATCGGAACCACCTTGTCCTCATTCTCCTTCAACCACCGGCCAGCTTCCTGACCCTCTTCCGAGACTGAGAACGAGGTGACCGCTGCCTGCTCCTGATCCAAGTAGGTCAGGACCTTTCACACTTCTGCGGGGACTGTGCTACCACATTGCACCACCCACTGGCCCTCGTATGCTCGACCAGGATCTTCGAGAGTGTTCTCCCATGCTTGTGGGATGCTGGACAGTAAACCATCGAGCCTTGCCGGCACTGCGCGCAGATGGTGCAACTTAGTTCTGAGTTCGGTTGCAGATCTCCACTGCGTTAGATCCGTGTTCCATAAATCTGATACCCGTGCGACACCTCTTTGGATCCAACTCTTGCCAAACTGCCCGGTGCCATCACTGGCGGACCAGGGGATCCCAGTGTCGTCGCAAATAAGATTGTTTTCAAAGAGGTGCTGGGCCAGAATCTCCTCCCTGGTTCGTGTTTCTTAGAGCTGCACCGACATGAGTTGGGACCAAGCCCGAAGAATGTCCCTCCAGACTGGGGAATTAATAGGTCCTTTCACTAAGGAGGGTGTGAGCAGGGCCAACCACACATCCTCTCTCCTACACAGGCCCCACTCCTTCACGAGAATAGCCACCGCCAGCTCCACCCACGGATGGCCTGTTTCTACAGAAAGTAGCTTCAACACCCACCTGGCCAGCAGTGCGTTCTTCTGCATTTCCGGATCTTTAATTCCCAGACCCCCATCTGATTTACTCCCTACTACCTTTTTCCATGCAAGTTTGGCAATATACCCCACTGCCTCGTCATCCGTTGCTTTCCATAGATACCTTGTAGCCACCGATCTGATCTTGCCATAAGCCTTGGGTTCTAAACTCCTCATCGCTCCGGGGTACCATATCTGCGAGAAGACCG